TCTGAGACTACATTTGAACTCAAATCTTCCTGAATCCATGCCCTGAGCACTTATCCACTGAATGACTTAATTGCTTAGGGACAGATCTGTAATTTCTTGGCTTAGTAAACTTTTCATAAAGAAACACTTCCCCTGTCCCCAATTTATAAACTGCTTGTCAACTAGCAAAAGCTAAAATTTGTATAGCTCTTTAGATATATTGTTTCATTAGAGCCTTAAAGTCATCCTGTGCTGTAAATGCTATTATTATCCCCATTTTACAGATCAGCAAGTAAAGTAGACCTAAGTGACTTGCTAAGGATCACATACATCATAAGTTTCTAAGATAAGATTTGAACACAGTTTTTCTTGGCTCCAGCACTCTATCCATCTAGGTTCATATGTTCCAGGGAACTCTCTAAGACTAAAAGTTGTGGAGAATATATTGACCTAAATTGGAAGAGCAAGTCTTTTCATGTACTGTTGTTTAGTCAGTTTTTAGTCATGTACAATTCTATGTGACCCCATTTGGGTTTTTCTTGGCAGAGATACTGGAGTGGTTTATCATTTCCTTCTCCAGCTCATTTTACAGATGAGGAAACCAAAGTCAACAGGGTGATGTGACATGCCCAGGATCATACAGCTAGTAGGGTCTAAGACTAGATTTGAAATCAGGTCTTCTGACTCCAGGCTTAGCATTTCATCCACTGTACCACCTAGCTGCCCCTGTGTGGGAGCTCCCAACAAGAGTGAAATTGCAGACCCCATCCCTATCCTGTATCACTGATCAGTTGTTGGGGATATTGTAGCACAAATTATTTCTCTAGTGAGGTTGGACTAGGTAAACGGCGAGCGAGGTCTCTTTCTATTCTGACTTTCTATGATTATATCAGAGTAAAATATAAAGAATCATTACCAATTAACTCGGAACTGTGCAGTCTCCACCCCAACCCCACCACTTTAGTCCCAGAGTATTCTACTAGCATATTCTATTGTTTTCTTGGTGTTTGAGAGTTCTAAACACACACACATACACAAACATACACACTGACCAAGACCGATGCATTCTCACCTGGCCTGGGATGATGTTAGTGAAGATGATAATGGCTCTAACAGAATGCAGTTTATTCCCCTAGATATACTCTGGACTCCTTCACAATACAAACTCAAATGCTGCAAAACAGCCCAGAATGCTATGATTTCAGCAATTTTCCATGAAGACACTAAATCTATCCCTATAAATTCCAATTTTCAGCTGAAGAGCTGTCCAGAGATTTGCTTAACCCCTTGAATGACTGTTGGCTGGGAATGAGCAGAGACCGCTGAGGGCTTAAGCGGCTTCATTCTCCACCCAGAGCTACCCTCAGTTCTTAATGGCTCCATTCAGGATGAGGAAAGTGATAAATAGACCATTAGCTCTAAAAATCCTTACTTTCTTTCATGGAACATAAGATGCAGGCAGGATAAGAGCTAGACTATTGCATCTGATTTGGGAGAGAAGTAAATGGGAAGAGCATAGGAATTGTGGGCCCTAACCCTAACACAGCTCTGCTATTATCCCAGTGTCGAATGGGCCAAGTTGTCTCCTATCATGAGTGTTAATTCCCTCATTGGTAACATAAAGACCAATTTTCTTTTTGCCAATATAATAAAAATGACAATTCTCTTAAAGTTAATGTACAGTTTGAATGCAATACAAATCAAACTATCAAAGCAATACTTTCCAGAACTCAATAACACAATAACAAAAGTCATTTGAAGAAATGAGCAAGTATTTCTAGATTTCAATTTTGCATTCTGTAATATGGGGGAAATTATCACATAATCTAGAGATAAAAGAGACTTAAGCAGCTACATATTCCAACTCATAATGGGAAAAAATCCATACCATAGTGTAATATAATGTGCTGGGAGGATGACATGAAAGACTGGTCAGGGAACAGAATTAATAGCTTACAAGTCTGTAGTGATATACAGTTCATAAAGCCCCTTACCAATAACAACCTTGTGAGGTAGGTATCACATGCTTATTATCCCCATTTTATAGATAGAGAAACTGAGGTCCAACAGACCATTAGAGACAAAATAATTCAGTCCCTTTATTTGGAGAGAAGAATGAGGATTGGGCAAATATAATATAAGTTCTTCATGAGTAGAGATTCTTTCATCCACTGCATTTGTATCTCTGGTGCCAAGCATAATGCCTCATCCATAGCAGGTTCTTAATAAATACTTGCTTATTGGTTAATTAAGTGATACACCCAAAGGTGCCCAGGCAGTACATGGCAGAACCAGGATTTCTACCCAGGTCACAAGGCTATAGATTCAGAGCCAAAAATAATTGTATTAGGAGTCCCAGTGTATAGAGAGCCAAGCTGAGAGTCAGGAAGACCTGAATTCAAATCCCATCTCAGACACTTACTAGATATGTGACTCTGGGCATGGCACTTAACTTTTGTTTACCTCAGTTTCCTCATCTGTAAAATGAAAATAATAGCACCCACTTCCCAGGGTTGCTGTAAGGATCAAATGAAATAATGTTTGTGAAGTGTTTTGAACAGTGCCTGGTATGTAATAGGTGCTATATAAATTTTGGCCATTATTTCTACTACTAGTAGTAGTAGTAGTAGTAGTAGTAGTAGTAGTAATAGAACTACTACTACTAGCACCACCACTACCACCATTACTGCTACTATTATTGCTACTATTACCACTATTATTCCTCCCTCCTCCTCCTCCTCCTACTACTACTACTACCACCACCACTACCAATACTACTGCTATTATTGCTACTATTACTACCATTACTACTAGTGCTGCTGCTGCTGCTGCAGCTGCTACTCCTCCTAACTTCTCATTTGAGAGATGAGAAACTAAGGGCCATAGTTAAGTGACCTACAATATCAAAAGACAGGATTTGAGTGCAGAACTTACTGACTCCAAGTCTGGCATTATCTTTGGACAAACTACTTCTCATGAAGGCACTAAGTGCCTGGAATAGAAAGAAGGGGTAGTAATCATGAGGGCAAGAGGAAGGAAGGGTAAAAATATGAGAACTAAAGATAAACTTTCCTGGCAAAAAACAATTTCTCCCAGGCCTGGCCCTGATTCTATCACTGAACAGTCATAATCAGCCCTGTGTGATTGCCTAGACAACTGGTGCCGATTGAAATGTCAAGCCAAATTTCACAAGGGCCTCACAATTCCTGATTTCCCTATCTCCTTTCCATGTTTTCACTTCTTCTCTGTAACTCCCTTGTGCTGGTGGTGAATAATGGTCATTGACGAGCAATCACGCACTGCCTCTGTCTCCCTTTGCCTCTTCCCCTCCCCCCCCACACAATGAAGTCAAAGTCCCATTCCAAGAAGTGAGGTGGGGGTTCCTTAAGGCACAGTGTGGTACACCCCTGCTTAAAAGGGTGGATTTTATCCCACTGAGAATCTTATTACAAGCAGTGTGCTACATTTGAAAGTATCACCTGGCAAGGAATCACAATACCTGAGTTCCAGGCTCGATTCTGTCACTAAGTATCTGCATGTACCTAAACAGATGACAAAGGCTATGGTATTTTGCTGCCTCAGTTTTCTCATCCATCCAGTGGGGCTAATAATACCTTTTTCTGCCTACTTCATGGGATTTGAATGTGACCACCAATGAATGAATAAATGAATGAATGAAAAAACACAACTTGTTACGGACTATGTGCTAAAGACACATATAGAAAAGTGATAATAATGGACATTTCTATGGTCCTTTAAGGTTTGTAAGGCGCTTTGCCCACATCACTGCATTTCATTTGAATATTGCACCAAACCTGTGAGGTAAGTGCTAGTACTGGAAAAAAAAAGAGGAAACTGAGGCTCAAGGAATTTATTTAGTCATGGTCATACAGTTAATATGTCAGAAATTGGATTTGAACTTAGTACTCTACTGGCTGCTCACAAGAGCATTGAATTTGAAGTAAGGAAGGCCCTTAGAAGTTATTTTGTTCCAGCTCCGCATTTGCAAATGAGGAAACTGAGGCACAGTGTGGCTAAGTGATTTCCTCCAGCTCACACAAGTATAAATATCAGAGGCATGATTTGAATCCAGGTCCCTTAACTCCCATCTAGTCTCCTTTCTACTTTGCCATAATCCATGATATTTCTACTATGGTATGTTATCTCTCCCTAGATAAGAACCTAAGGAAGTGTGGTAAGACAGATAGAGAATGGACTTAGAGACATTTAGACCAGGATTCAACTCCCACCTTAGACATTTAAAATCTGTGGGATCCTGGGCAAGTCACTTAATCTCTTTGGCCTAGCTTCCCCATCTTTAAAATGAGGGGACTGGATTCAAAGACTTCTAAGGTCCCTTCAGCTCTACATCTATGAGCCTCCCCCCCCACCCCAGTGATCACTGCAAAATATTCAAAATACCTTTGGAAGGTTAAAACATTCTTTCCAGGTATAAAGGATTAGGGCATTTAGAGCCTCATGAGCCTGAATGGAAAGTAGAGATTACTTAGAGCCTTACAAAGACTCTTTCTCCAAGAGATATTTGGTGGAGGCAGGGAGGCTGGGGGGCTCCATTCAGAAAACTCTCACCATACTCGGAAAAGAATCCTAATCCTATGGGATCTTTGGGAAAAGTAATGATGCAGAAGTTATGAAGAGGCCAATCTCTGGCCCAAAGGCAGGAGGAGCTGTGCAGGAGAATAGCAGATGAGACCAGGGCAGAGATCACCATTGAGTGCAGGGCCTGAAATGAACGCCCAGGAATGCAAGGTACCACTTTCCTACTAAGCTCTGGGGTAAACTCTCTGGCACCTCGGCTTTTCCCATTCATTGGAAAGCAGCTAACGGCCATCATTGACCACAAATCTGAGAAACTATCCAACTGGCATTCATTTCAGAACATACACACATTCGAAAAGGTTAAAAAGTTTAACTAAAAAGTGGGTTAACTCTTTCAGTCCTAAATGGGGCTAATCACCTTCTGTTCACTTCCATCTCTGTTCTCCCAGCGGCTTACATACCCGAATCATGAGAACGGCTTTCCTGATGTCTCGGACTCCATCATACACCAGGCGGGAGGCATCAATGAACTCATTCTCTTCAAAAGGCTGAGGCACATTGGCACTCAAAGCTTCAATGGCCACCTCCACTTGTTCAGCAAATCGTGGCATAACTAAATGTAAATCAAACAACAAAAAACAATGAGATTATAGTTTTTTTTTTTTTTCCTTCCTGTATTGGTTCCAATATCCTGCAGGGAAAGAACAACCTTAGAACATCTTGATTCTTCAGCCCAAAGAGGGAGGTGAAGGGTCAAAGCTGCCAGGTCTTAGAGTTTGCACATCTGACTCATTTCTCAGAATTAATTTTAAAGCATGCATTAACAAAAACTTGAACATGGTCCCATACGTTCAATGAGTTCACATCAGAGATCCTAAGGACATGCTTGCCAAAACCAAACAGAGAGGCGTCTTTCTTTCCAGTCTTAAAATCAACTATTAGTGATTCTTTCCTTGATTGGCATCCCTGAAGGAATGATTTCATGTTACTGGATAAACCAGATAAATCATCCTAAGCAATCGTTCACACATAAGTATGAATACATTTATAGATTCCTTTGCTTGTTGAAGGTTTTGATCAGGTAAAGAGGCAGAAATTGTAGGAATTGGTTATTGGGATATGTGGCTAAAGGAAATCACCTTAGGAAAAAGGGAAAGAAATGGAAAGCAAAACACAGTCAAAATTTTACCTCCTTAACAATTTTGCTGGGGAAACAGCCTTATCTTGAATTTAGACAAGTTTCTACATGTACGTATCCATTTTGCTGGAAGTCAAACACCACTTCTGTAGAAGGTCTTTCTTATTCTTCCTCCCACTCTGACCCTTCCCCTACTCACAGCCACTAGTTTCTTCACCACTAAGGTTACTTCATATCTCATTTGTATGTACTTTGTAAATATCTATTTAGGTACATTGTCTCTCCCACTAGAATGTAAGTTTCTTGAAGACAGGAAAGGCTTCCTTATTTTCTTTATATCCCTAAAACTTAGCACAATGCCTGATTCATGGAAAGCATCTGAAAGTTCTTGTTGATTGATTTATTGCTTCATTTATACCCAAGTATATTTGCTTATGAAATCTTGGTCTTGAGTTCAAAGAAAGATGTGGAATACATAGAACACTTCACTACCAAATCTACCCCTTTCTTCATACATGCATACATATATATATATATATATACACATACATCTCATATATATAATATATATATATATAAAATTTCCCACTCAAAAACACCCAAACATTTCAATCTCTTAGGTGTTACTTCAGATCAACCGATCCCCAGAGTAAATGGAAGCCTGGAGGCATCCATTTGCTTACAAGGACAATAAAATGGAAACATCACTCATCAGTTTCCATTTCTGAGCTCTCTGGGATGATTCATGTGCATCCTCTCACCTATCCCTACCCTGGATATTTTAACATTTATTTTCTGCTGTGGAGAGAGAACTATGATGGGTTTACTCCACTCACTAGGGCAGAGCCTTGTAGAGAAATGACTCATTTCTGAATCCATTTCTACCCATAAAAATCCACAAATGGGGGCAGAGAAGGAGAATTGTGCTCTTTTAATGGGCAAAGGGACCATGATTCTTGATTCTGACTGACAGACTACAAACAAAGCATTCCCTTTTCCTTGAGTGGAGTAAGGATGATCCAAACAATGGTCTACACTACATGTGTTCATGCTTTGGTTCTGCTTAAGGAGATGTACCAGGGAAGGGGATGAAGAAGGACTTTACTTTTGCTGGTGTGGATCAGAAAAAGTCAATTATCCACACTAGAGAATGAAATCTAGATAAACCTCACTTAAACACATCATCAGAAAATGAGCCATTGCATGACCCCATTCTGAGGCCTGGAGCCTACTCCGTTGGTGTGGCAAGACTCCTTTTTAACTTCAGTGATTTGGGATGAACATTATTGGAAACTGGACTTTGTGGCCCTTTGTATCCTCCATGCCAACACTGCATGATAGTAAGGCAATATGGTACAATAACGAAACATCTGGTCTTGGAGGCAAAAAATACTCAGTTAAAATATTGCTTCTGATGCTTATTAGTTGCATGTCCTTACTAAAATCACTTAACTTCTCTTAGCCTCAGGGTTCTCACCTATAAAATGGGGATATCCATAATCTCTACCTCAAAGGACTGTTATACAGTAAACATGATATAACGTATGTCGACCACTATATAAACCTCGAACTGCAAAACAACATTAGGGATTCATCCTGTGACTTCATTGATATGGTAAAGTCCCAGGTGGGGAAACTCCCTCTACTAATGGAGCTTTATAACTTCCCTTTAATTTAAGAATCTCTGGAGAGCTTTCTAGAGTAGGGGTGTTGAACACATGGCCCACAATACTTCTGAATATGACTCATACCAGGTTAAAATGTAGATCCTATCAGATTTTAATGTTTGATGTATTAAATATATATATATATATGAATGTGCATTTATATAAATATACACAAAATATATGTATTTAAGTATGTAGTTATATACACAAACTTGTGTATATGTGTATGTGTGTAGATAAACATATGTGTATATGTGTATATACACGTGCATATATACACACACCCATATCTATATACACATATACATGTACATATATATACATATATGTATGTGTATATGTATAAGTGCATTGTATATATGTGTTTATATATGTATGTTTATATGCATGTGAATATATATACATATACATATATATATTTTCCCAAGTCAATATATAACCTTCAGGAATTATAGTGGATGGTTTAATGCCCCCATTTCTAACTACATTTAGAACCATTAGTATAGATTACTAAGATGTTATATAATTTTCCAGGATCATACAGCCAATGTGCTGGAGAGATGGCTTTAACCCAGGTCTTCCAAGAAACAAGCCTGTCTCTCTATCTAATCTTCAAAGTGCAATATATTGATGAGTTATTATTTGTATTAATAATAACTGATGTCATCATCATCATCATTATTATTATTATTTTGACTGAGAAAGTGACTTCCCTTCTCCAAGGTTTCCTTTACTCATCTATAAAATAAAGGCTCAGGACAAGAGCTCTTAGATCTCTTTCCAACTCTAAATCTATGATCTAATGAGGCTTTTACACTATATCAATAATAAGAATAAGTATAACAATGACAAGTAATAGCTAACATTTATATAGCACTTTAAGACTTTCAGAGCACTTCACATCTATGAGATGGGGATAATAACGCTTTCCCTGCTTACCTCACATGGTAGTTATGAGGCTGAAAGGTTAGCATTTACAAGGGCTAGCCAGAAAGAGCTAACAGTTATTATGATGACTCCTTTTCCTGACTCAGGGGTTTCATGATGTTATTTTCCATGATTGTACTGGGCTGTAGCCCAGTGATGCCCTGGAGGATGTCTGTCTACCTAGGCTCTGAATAGCCCCAGCCTGGTGTAGCTAGATTTATTCTAACTCTCTTTTTCTTCCTCTTCCCTCCCTGTGAGGCTGATTGCCATTAGCATGTTTGCTTCAGGCAGCACCATAGGCCGTTGGGTGTTTCCAGCTCCGTAGATGTGAGCCTCTTATCACAGCCACTAGGTTCTATTATTGTGGGGCTTAAATAAAATAAGGTCCATAAAGCATACTGTATACTTTAAAGTGGTGATATGAATATCTGCAGCTTCCTTGGTTGTAGCACAGCTCTGCCATGTTTGCCAGCTGTCTTTCCATTCCTGATAAACTTACTTAAGAATCATAATAGCATGTATTGAGGCAACTAGGTGGCTGAGTATTGAGGCTGAGTAGATAATTGCTGGCCCTGGAGTCAGAGAGATATGAGTTTAAATCTAGCCTCAGACACTTACTTTCTGTATGACTCTTGGTAAGTCATTTCCCCTTTTTTCCAGACACAATTTCCTTATTTCTAAAATGAAGATCATAAAAGTATCTACTTTACAGGGTTGTTCTGACGAGCAAATGATATAATACATGTAAAGTGTTTTACAAACCTTAAAGCACTATGTGAATGCTAGTTAGTATTATGTTATTATTGTTTGGTCATGTCCTACTCTCTGTGACTCCATTAGGGGTTTTCTTAGCAAAGATACTGAAGTGGTTTGCCATTTCCTTTTCCAGCTCATTTTATAGATGAGGAAACTGAGGAGAACAGAGTTGAATGACTTGGCCAGAGTCACACAGCTAGTAAGTGTCTAAAGCAAGATTTGAACTCAGGAAGATGTGGCTTCCTGACTCCAGAACTGGCCCTCTATCCACTGTGCTACCTATCTGCCCAATTATTATTATAGTACATGAAAAGATTGCAGAGGCAGTTTCAGATGGATTTGAGTTCAAATCCTGCCTTTGATGCTTACTACATTATGTATCAGATCAGGGGGTTGGCCTAGATAGGTTCTGTGGTCCCCTTGAGACCTAGGTTCTCTTTCAATACTATCTTGCACCTCTCCAATGCAGTAAGCCTCAGTTTTCTCTCTAATTGTTACTCTCCATCCCTGGACACATAAGATAGATGACTGTCTTCCGCAATGACTATGACTCCTTGTCTCTCTACTGTTCTAAATCTACCCACATTCTGAACCAAATCTGGAAGACATCACGTTTCCCTTGGCAAACTTGCTCCTCTCACTGCTTGAGAAAACTCAGGGAGATGCTGGCAGATCAGATGATCCCTGGGAGTAGCAGAGTTGATTGGATGAACACATATTGCTTTACAAGAAATTCATCAGAATATACAAACACAGAGAGTATCTTCGGGTTTCTGCCATGTGGGAAATTCCTGTACCAATATTTATTGTCAGCTCATGTTCCACCTCCTATAGGAAGCTTTTCCTGATCCCCTTAACTGCTAGTAAGCTCCTTTCTTCTCCCATATTCCCTTATGTTTATTTTGTATAACCTATGTATATAATGTATGTTTATGCTGTCTCTCTCAGTAGAGTGAAAACTTCTTGAAGGGAAGAGCTCTTTAATTTTTGTCTTTTTTTTTGTCCCCAGGGCTTGGAAGAGAGCAAATTATTTAAAAACTTAACGTTGGTTGACTAACCGTCTGGGGGAGAAGGTTGAAGCACATGAAAGTTAAGTGACTTACCAGAGGTCATACAGCTTGTGAG